GGGGGGGGGTTAGTTGCCAGGAAGGGGCTAATTAGAGTCAAGGTGCATAAGTAACGGAGCAATAAGTATAACTAAGATTCGTTTAAAGCAGTGAGTGAGACGTACCACCAGGGCTATTTTGGGGCAGGAACGCACAGGAACGGAGTTCCGGCTGGCTCCCAAGTTGGCCACACCCAGCAGGAACCTATTAGCATAATAGGCCACGCCCAACAGCAGAAACTCATTAGGATTGGCTACATTAGGGGTGTGTGGCCCAACATGCAAAGGAGTTCCTGCTGCAAAAAAAGGCCCTGGGTTTTGACAACAAACAAGGTAAACAGAATAAGAAGCAAAAGGTGGGTGTGGCTGGATGACCACACTTCTGGTAACATGAGGGTGCGGCCTAATATGCTAATGAGCTGTGCTGTCAGGGGTGTGGCCTAATATGCTAATGAGTTCCTGCTGTTGGGTGTGGCCTATTATACTAATGAGTTCCTGCTGGGCTTTTTCTACAAAAAGAGCCCTGCGTACCACCATGCATTGAAATCCATTTCATTCGGGGGCTCGGTGCTCACCCTGGCTAATTCATTTCCCAGTTCTTGAGAAACGGACCGGGAACACAGCATGCGACTCCTCATTTCCACTGAAACTTTCACCATGCGGTGTGGAGCTGCTGTTGCTGCTGCTTAAGTGACACTGACATCTAGTGGACAATCATCAGCAAGGCTCCATTTCTGTTGCTCGTGGGAGTGAGCGAAGGAGCGAATGCACACCAGGGACCAGAACATTTGAGAATACATAGAAGTACGGAAAGAAGCACTGGGCTTTCAATATGCTGTAGATAAGCACAAAGGAGCTAGGACCATTCAGAGTTCTCAGAATGTATCCTGCTCCCTTACTTATGTATTAGATTTTTTATCCAGCAATTCCTCCAAGGAAGTTTAAAGCATGTACATGGTATGTGCTTCCCCCTTGTTGTCCTCATAAACACCCTTGTGAAGCAGAAGAAGAAGAGTAAGAAGAGATGGGATTTATACCCCTCCCTTCACTCGGAGTCTCAGAGCGGCTTACAATCTCCTTTCCCTTCCCCTCCTCACAACAGACACCCTGTGAGGTAGGTGGGGCTGAGAGCGCTCTTTTGAGGACTGCTCTTGAGAGAACAGCTCTCAAAGAACTTTGACTGACCCAAGGTCACCCAGCTGGCTGCACATGGAGGAGTGGGGAATCAAACCCAGTTCTCCAAATTAGAGACCACGCTCTTAACCATTACTCCAAACTGGCTCTCTGGTTACGCTGAGGGAGAGAGGGACTGACCCAAAATCAGCCATTGAGTTTCCTGACAAAGTACAGATTCGAACATAGGAGTCCTCATACCAAATGCCCTACCCACTAACCACCTTGGTGTTTTTTTTCAGACTTCACATATTTTCAATAGCAAACATCGGTGTAAATTGCTGTATGAAGTTCTCACACTTCCCTAGTGGATGACAGGTGTGGAACGGGCATAATTGGTAGTTTCCAACCTTTGTGTGAGCCTTAAGAGGGGGAGAGGCTGCAAAGGGGGATGTGTCCAGTGAATTCTAGAGCCCCGGTTGGGAGGGGAATCAAAACCACCTTCCTCCACAGTATCATGCGCAAGCCAAGATTGATTGTGCCCACCACAGCACACGGTAAGATACATTCAAGACAAACCCCAAGATTATCATAACCAGGGAACTGAAGGGGGAGAGAGAGGGAGAGAGAGAGAGGAGAGAGAGAGAGAGAGATCTGCTTTCGATTGAATCAGACCACTGGAATGGTCATGTCTACTCAGACTGGCAGTGGGTCTCCGGGGTCCCAGGCAGGGATCTGTCACATCACCGACTATCAGATCCTTCTTAACGGGAGATGCTGGGGATTGAAACTGGGGTCTTCTGGGTACCAAACAGGTGCTCTGCCGTTGAGCCACGGCTCCCTTCCCAGGTGACTTCCCAGGTCCAACGGCCCAATCCAAGTGGCACAGGTGGTTCAACCTGCACGCGGCAGGCTCTGTGCCAGCTGGCCCTCACGCGAACAAACAGAATGGAAGCATGACGCCATCCTCACGAATGCAGAAGCAGAGACTGGAGGACGTCCAATACATGCCACACAAATGTACTTATTTTTTTAATCAGAACATTTGGGGGGGGGGGGTCTATGGAGCTGCGGACTTGGACCTCCTTTTACTCTCTGGCTGCATTGCCAAAAACCATGGCCTGTTCTGATGATGACAAGCAGTAAGCCGGCCGCCCGTTCCCGCCCACTTGTTGGCCTCCCCCTGACTCTCCGGCCCTGGCAACCTACACATCATATCCTGCTCCTGAGTGTGAACTGCTGGCATGTGCTTCGGGTGTCCTATAATCCCGATCCGGTTTGCTGGCAGGATACAAAGCCTTGGTGTCTGCTAGGCTTGTGCGCGGGAGAGAAAGAGAGAGAGGATGCAGCCAGCCTTGCCAATGAGGATGGGGTACCAGCCAGCTGGCAAACAGCAGGCCCTTGGAACCGGCTCAGAAGATGGCAGTTTCTGTCAGGACACATTAAGGGGGACGGCTCTGAGACAGATTGAGTTCCCTGCGAAAATCATTGGAAGAGATAAATAAGAAAACTGGAAGAGATAAATAAGAAAAGGAAACAGTCTTGTGCCTAGCAGCAACTTCTGCCAATGGAAGCACAGCGGGAGACAAAGAGAAATTTTTCTCCCTCTCCCAAAAGACTAGAACTTGAGGGCATCCGATGAAGCTGATGGGCAGTAGGTTCACAGCAGACAAAAGGAAATACAACTTTACGCAGAGAGTCATTAAACTGTGGAATTCACTGTCAGAGGATGCAGTGATGGCCACAAGCATAAACAGCTTTAAAGGGGGATTAACTAGATTCATGGAGGATAGGTCTATGAATGGTTATCAGTCATGGAGACTGAGGGGAACCTCCACATTCAGAGACACTAAACCTCTGAATCTCAAGACAAGGAGACAACATCAGGGGAAGGCCTCGGCCTCCATGCCCTGTTGTTGGCAGTCCAGAGGAACTGGTTGGCCACTGTGTGAGACAGGATGCTGGACTAGATGGACCACTGGTCTGAATCAGCAGGGCTCTTCTGATGTTCTTACAACCATAGCCCGGGCTACACAAGAGAAGCAGAAGTAGAATTGAGAGCCTGGACTGTAGCGCTTTAGTCATGAATTTTTAAAGAAATCTCTACGTGATAGAAATCTAGCACGTAACGGAGAAGGGGTGACTAGGCTGACTTACTGACACCTAGCTTTTGACCTGCAAAGAGTTCTTTTTTAAATGAAGGAGCATCCACAAAGTGGTACAGTTTGGGACGTGGTTTGCTGTCTCATCTGCTGCATGTGCAGACCAGCATACACAAAAGATGAACACGGAAATAAGGAAAAAATCCAAGATGTGAAAGAATTTGTGTGAATAACTAATAATTCACAAAGAACTAAATTTAATAATTGTGGCAGAATTTGGGGTTCAATGAGCCTTTCTGTTTTTCTATGCTATGTAGGTTTTGAAGAAGAAGAAGAAGAAGAAGAAGAAGAAGAAGAAGAAGAAGAAGAAGAAGAAGAAGAAGAAGAAGAGGAGGAGGAGGAGGAGGAGGA